GCTCGGTCTTGGGCCTATTGCTGTTCGTAAACTTCATTAATGATCTGCCGGACAGAATTAGTCATCATATGAAACTGTATGCTGACGACAGTAAAATTATTGGCATAATTAAAAACGGATAGCGTCACTCTCCAAGCCGACAATGACAGAGTAGTGGAATGGTCGCATATTTGGTTTATGCATTTTAACATTGAGAAATGCAAAGTAATGCATGTTGGCCGCACTTGTAACAAGTCGACGCACAATTACTCAATGGCCAACGTTGACGGCACGCGTTATCCACTCGATAAGACTGTAGTCGAACGTGACCTTGGTGTGAATGTCTCCAAAGACCTTAAAGTGAGACCACAAGTAGATTCAGCTGCATCAATTCCAAATAAAATGCTAGGGCGACTAAAAATAACCAACATTTAAAAAACACCGTAAAAACAGCATTTAAAAAACACTGTAAAAACGCAGACCTAATCGAACAATTTAAAGTCACGCATCAATTCAAACTTCAATTTTTTCATTCCACAAGTATATTATGAGAGAGCATAATCAAAAACTAGAACGCCAGCTTCTACGAAATTGTGAAGAGCGTCAAAACTTTTTTTCAAATAGAGTTGTTGTCCCATGGAATGCGCTTTCCTAAGCAGTAGTGAACGCTCCATCTATCCATGCTTTCAAAAACAGTATAACGAAGTAACTTTTAGAGACACAATTGCTGTTTTGTCTGTAGCTTCTATGTCTTTTATTTTTGTCAGCATAGAGGGGCCTGATGTAAATTTTAAAATCACCTCTTCATCAAACTTTAAACAGATTTATTGTATTTTTTTTTTTTGATCACTGAATAATAATAATAATATTAATAATAATAACAATAATAGCAATAATAACAATAACAATAATAGCAATAATAGCAATAATAATAACAATAATAATAAAATAACTCTTATTCATTCGAAGTTTAATTACGCGAAACCTTTCTTACTCTTTTGTTCTACTCTTTTATAAAAAGAGCGCGCAATCAAATAAAAACTTTTTTATCTTAACATAAAATTAAATTAGAAATAAATTAACAATGAGCAAAGCAACTAACGGATTAATCTGGAACAATTTGATATTTATGAAAATAATCAACATACAGGGCTTACTGGGTTGTTCGTAGAAAATTTATTTACATTCAAAATATTTATTTTAAATATTATTATATTTATTATCTATATTTTTTTAATTTATAACTATAATTGATATTATTATAAATCTAAAAATTAATATTATTTATTTTTATTATCGTTTTTAATATTTTTTATTTATTATAATCGGCGTTTTTTTTTTTAAATTAAATTATTTAAGGCCGCTCAACTACCAAATGACCTCATTTATACCCTAAGTGAAAATAAATAAGAAAGTTTGTTATATTTTGAAAAATTTACAAATTTAAATAGCAAATAATGTTATATACAAAGGATATTATTATTGTTATTTTGTTATTGTTAATAAGGATAAATGGTAAATACTTTCTCTCTAAGGTTCATTGTTATCCTTGAAGTCATAGTAGAGTCAAAAAATGTGTTACTATTTTGGATAGGGATATTGGATACTGTTTTCACTGATAACGCTGAGTTGAAAATGCCGTTAAGGACGAGTTTTGTTAATGTTTTTGCTCATACGAAATGGTAGCATGTTAGGTGCCGCAACTATGACATTTCTACCAAATTCCTAACACCTTATTTCATATTTCTTACACACATCATATATGTGTAGGAAAAGCAAATTATATGGCAAAGCATGTACTGAGAAAACATGTCGCTACATTGGTTCTTCGTTTTGTTTAAAATTAAAAATAAGAAATGAAATGGTTATTGTTAGAAGTAAAAATTAATAATATTAAATTATATTAACAGAATTTTTATAATCTTTTCCAAGCATAGTTTCTTGATTATCTCTTTAATTTTCTAAGTACAGGCAAAGCAATATCAAAACTTGATCCATGTAGCTTTGCAAAGGAGAATTTTTAGTATGATGATTTTTTTTTCGAGCGGGTATCGTTTATATTCCAAGCTTTTATTACATCTATTTTGTAGAAAACAAGTGTCATTGCTTTTCTAATAACAAATAAGTATCATTTCAATCTGAATGTTATTAGGCGCAACGGATGAATTATATGGCGTTCTCATAATCATTTTGAAAGCAATAGGCTCACAGACTGTCCACTTGCTGGAAAAACTATAAAGGACTGTTTTTAAAAAGCATGCTGGAAAAACTGGATAATAAATTTTTAGAGCATCATAAAACCAATGATGCCAAAAAAAAATATTTTTCAGTTTTTCTAGCATTTTTTTCCGAGGCACTCTTTTCCAGTTTTTCCAGCAAGTGCAAAACCTAGCATTTTTATAATATAATTAAATTATCATAATTTAATTCAAATTCAAAGAATAATTCTAAATCATCTACAAATGTTGTATTAGCAGTTAAGCATATTTGAGTCTACCATTTTTTGCATTGTTAAAGATATTAATCCAATTTGGATTTTTGTTCCAACCTTTTCAGCTTGCGCACAGTTTATATTATATTTATTATTGAATAATATCATATCAGTTGACAACAAGTGTAGAATCTTGTCATGAATACAGAATGGGTTTTTATCAGTCAATCATTCATAAAACATTTTTTGTAATTTTACTTCACCGGTTGTTCATTTTGCATTGTGTCGTAATTACATTTGTAAAAGGCCTAATGATCATGAGCAGGATCATTAGATCATGATGGGCAGGATCTGTTATGCTGTGGCCACCTGTCAATCTACCCAGTGATTTTTAGATTGTGATATGGCTTCATTTGTTATACTAAATGGTTGCCTCATAAATTTTTTATACAACAAGGAATGCTTTTTTAAAAGCCATTTTATTTCTTGCAATTATAATCAAGCTCTTTTTTAACAATAAAAGTGTCTTGCAAACAGAATTTACTTTTTTCCTAGAACATTCAGGTGCAACTCCCAGTTTAATATTTTTTTGAAAAAAAAAAGAAATTTTTGTCAATATTGATAAAGTCCATTTACAACTGTCGAATTTTAGATGTTTTTGAATTTTCTCTCCTTGCTTCCAGCTTCTTTAAATGGTGGCATATTGGTTGGTTCAGGTTATGCATCATGTTTAACATTTCTGTTATCTTATGGCAGGCTGCTTTTTAAAACCTTTTAAAAGAATACATCAAAAATAAGCCAATCAAATGATTATTTTTCTTTTATGGTGCCATTGAAATGGAAAATATCATTTTTTTTAAAGCCTGCTGTTTGTTAATATATAAAACTAGTGATTGCAGCTTTTATAGACAATATGTGGAGCAAAATGGACTTTTTAGTTTCTAACATTTTAAAGTAATCATTGTATCTAGTTTCTATAAAAGGCATAATTCTTATTTATTATTGAGATTATTATTATATGAGAGTCTCATAAATATATGGTATGCTATATTTAACTTGTATATGTTTTATGGTTGTCAGATATGGGGCAAAATCAGTCAAAAAATACAAAGATCATAAAAAACCTTGAAAATAAATCACTTTAAATAGTTCATTTCCAATCTAATAGACTTGACTATAAAACCCTATACAATCTCTCAAAATTTATAAAGCTAAAAGATCTAATATTCCTATTGAATTGCACACTTGTATCGGACAGTTTGCATAATAACTTATCAATAAGTTTTAATAGTTATTAAAAATTTGTTAATAAAAGTTATTGCCATAACTTTAGATCAGAATCATGTAAAAATCTTGTAATAACTTTAAAGCAAACACTTAAGTATGGCATTAATTCCATTAAATTAAATCATGCAATTATCTTCCCTCTGAAATCAAGACAACATATCTAAAAAA